CCGGAATGCCCTTGCTACCCTTATAGAGTTCTGCGATACACCAAGACCATCTTTCTTTATGATTCTGTGAGCATTGCTTATTTCCAAATTGGAGCTCCATATAAAAGAATCAAAGGTATAACAGTCACACAAAGCCTTCTGTGGCTCTCTCTAGGGTCTCCTACAGTTGGCATAAGGCATGATAATAAAGACATGACTCTAGAAGCTTTAGCGCTGATATACTCTTTGTGGGCATTGAACCTGAGACTTGTATCAATGAGGACTCCGGGTACTTCAGATATGGCTGAGAACAAATCTCGTGCCTACCTACTGTAACAGTGATAGTCTCAATTTTCTTTCTGCTAGTTAAAAGGACCGCATCATTCTTGTGATAAGTAAGTTGCAGGCCCACAGAAGACAGCCCATCTCAGATAGAAGCATCTGCGATGCCTACAACTGTAGCTTCTTCTGGCAATGGTTGCCTGAAAATCCCGTCATACATAAAGTTCCACAGGAGCGGTCTTAAGACGGAACCCTGTGGAACACCACCAGTAACATTATATCTCCTAGGTCCGATGTCTGAGCCATAAAACAGTACTCTATCTCTGAAGTAGTCTGTGATTACTCTTATAAGATAATCAGGTACAGCCATAGTTCGTAACATGCAGGGCCATCTGGCCTTGTTAAATGCATTTTTGACATCTAGAGTGATGATTGCCACATAACACTTCGCATCCCTTCTCCATCTTACTCCTGCGATTGCTTTGCAGACAATATCATTGATGAGTCCAATAGCATCCACTGTAGATCGCACGTTTCGAAATCCATATTGGGCATCTGTGTGTGTGGGCATTCTTGTCGGACTAAAAATATTTGTGGCAATTAATTATTTATTATAATCAAATAAATAATTGAAATTTACAGTTGTAAAAAGAAATAGTTAGTGTCAAAAAAAAAAAAAAATGTAATACATTAGACCGCTATGAAAAACATATAATAATTAATTTTTTAAAATAATGTTTCATACCGATTATAATTTTTTACTTTCACTTCCCTTTGTCTGAAAATACTTATTTCTGCTTAGAAGAGGGGGTAAGTGAAACTTGTGTGATGAGCGCACCGCACCTCACTAGATTTTTACTATCACTTACCTATTATGGAATATACAGGGTGTTTGATAATTATACTGCACTATTTTAATGTGTTCACTAATACAAAATAAACAAAAAAGTTCATATTAACATATATCTCAAACTCATCTATTAAACAGATATCAAAGGTTAAAGATTTATTATTTATTTACTACTTTAAGACTGACTACAAAGTTTAACATGTTTCATACTAAATAACAGGTTTTAATCACCTGATAAGCAAATTAACGATAAGCAATGGCAGTAGTTGCTCATCTGTTTGTCTAGTTCTGTGTGTTTTAGTGTGAGTGAATACTGTTCAAAGATATCATGAAGAATTTCCTAACGGAAGAATACCAAATCGTAAAACGTTTAAGGCCATTGAAAGACGCCTTAGGGATAATAGCACGCTAAAACTTATACGATTAAACGCCGGTCAACAAAGATTTTGACTAACTGCGAACGTTGGAGAAGAAATAATCAATGCTGTTTAGTTATCTCCTACTACCAGTACCAGAAGATTGTTACGTCGTTTCCATGTTTCCTCTACCAGCGTATGGCGAACTTTACGTGAACAACAATTGTATCCATCTCACCTTTCAAGTAGGCAAAATTTGTTACCATAAGATTATAACAAGCACAGAAATTTCTCCCAGTGGTTAATTCGACAATGCACACGAGATCCTAACTTCCTGAACTGCATTTTGTTGACTGATGAATCTTGCTTTACAAGAAACTGGATTCTTAATTTTCAAATACCCATACTTGGATTGAAGAAAACCCTCATACGACTGCTGTTAGACATTACCAACATATCTTTTCTTTAAATGTCTGGTGTGGTCTTCTAAGCGGTGCTCCAGCTCACTTTTCTAAAAATGTCACTGATTATTTAAATGCAACTTATGGAGACTAATGGGTTGGTCAAAACGGATCTGTTAAATGGCCACCACAGTCTTTGGATTTAATGCCATTAGATCATTTTGTGTGGGGATGGATGAAGTCTATGGTTTATTCCGCGGCTGTTGGGATGCAAGAAGAGCTAAGAAATCGGATCATGGAAGCCTCAGTAACTATCAAGCACCATCCTGATGCTATACGAAGAGCCAGAAAAGCATGGATTCGTCCTGCTGAATGTTGCATTAAACAAAACGGAGGCCCCTTTGAACTGTTACTCTAAATGTTGTAATAATAATAAATAAATAGTAGTAATAAATAATAAATGTTTAACCTTTGATTTCTGTTTAATAAATGAGTTTAAGATTTATGTTGATATGAACTTTTTTGTTTATTTTCTGTTAGTGAACACATACCTAAAACAGTGCAACACATACCTAAAATAGTGCAGTGCAATTATGCAACACCCTGTATAGTAAGGGAAATATTGCGATCATTTTTTGTTTATTTTGTGTTAGTGAACACATACCTAAAATAGTGCAGTGCAATTATGCAACGTCCTGTATAGTAAGGGAAATATTGCGATCATTTTTTGTTTATTTTGTGTTAGTGAACACATACCTAAAATAGTGCGGTGCAATTATGCAACGCCCTGTATAGTAAGGGAAATATTGCGATCATTTTTTGTTTATTTTGTGTTAGTGAACACATACCTAAAATAGTGCAGTGCAATTACGCAACACCCCGTATAGTAAGGAAAATATTGCGATCATTAAAATTTTAAAATCTCAGTTTTCAACGGAAATATATGTTTTGAGGTCCCCTGAGTCGAGTCCACCAACCAACCAAGTCCCGCAAAATGGACTGTGTGTGTGTGTTTGTGTGAATGTGTGAACAGCCTAGCTATTCAAAAGTCGTACGAAACTTAAATGTTTTAACTTTAAGGTTTATATATAGTTCTGATGTGACAGCAACTTTTTCGTTAAAATCGGCTAACCCAAAGTGCCACTTTATATCAACATTGATGTAATGTGGTGATACACATTTTTACGATTTTCTCGTAAACGTCTCTAATGATTTTGATTAAACTCGGTATATCAGTGTATTATTAACTTGTTTTTAATATCAGATAGGTCTTATCCACATTGATATCACTTTACAGGGCTTAAATGCCCAATGTTCATATATGTCTTTCTCTAAAGTACCTTTAATTTGTTTTATTTTTTAAAAATAACTCTCTTATTGACAGTTACTATTAAAAATAAAGGGATAAATAAAGAATGAAGGAGAAAAAAAGAAAAATGCTTATCCTGGTCAAAAATGAATCTCCGGAAATAATAGTCAGAAGGTATACTTATAATATATCGTTAGAAAACAGAGAATTTTAGAAAAAATATATCTGATAAATAAAGTTGTAGAAGGTAACAGAGAGTGACAAAAAAAATATAAATAATAATTTCTGAAAACTGACATCATTTAACATAAATCACATATTTTCTAGGAAATTAAATGGAATTTTCTCACTAAATGTAAACGTTTAAATTTTTTTTAAGTTTTTAAAATTCAATGAAGGCAATGGCATTGTTTAAAATACTATTTCATTGTATTTGTGTGAAAGAAAAAGTGAGAGAGAAAAATACTTTACTTAAAGCAGTGCTGCCCTACTATATAGGGTTGCTCGATACACAGCTTACTCATCAATCCTTTTTTTGGGGGGGGAGGCATAGCACTTAATCATATGTTTATATATATATATATACATACACATACATACAAATTCTTTTTCATATCACACAGCATAAACAATATCAATACTATAATATACTAATACACACAATTACAATTATACAATATATACATATTTCGGTAAAACCGATGTAAGACAATTTCTGAAATTTATAGGAAAAAAAAAAAGAAAAGATGATATTCGAATGTCAAAATTTGAAAACCGTAAAATTAGAAAGCACACACAGGATATGGTTAGTTAAATCATTTAAAATTGAATAAATAAATAAATATCGATAATCAAACCCTAATTACCATATATGTGATGATGAATGATCCCAAGGGAGTCTTGAATAATACCCTCAGCCAACACTGCAATCTCCTCGACATCAATACCTAGTGTCTTAATCCCTACATCAAGCTCCCTGTTCTTTTAGGAATCGTTCCGCGAGACCCAAACCAGAGGCCTCTCATTGTGAAGTCTCTTTGAAATGCCTAAATCCAACGCCTTGCCACCTGCAACTGACTCATTCTTCAAAACAATTCTCTCTCAGTGACTGTCGTAGAGCTCTCATATTTCGGCTGCCCTGATCAACACCCAATCTCTTCGCACATTCGTCAATTTCGGTGTTATAATGAAATATAGACTGGAACAGGGCATCCGGTACACTGGACAGTCGCTGGGCAATGGACCAATGTTGCTAAGGAGCCTCCCATCAGTCCCAATCCTCGATACCTACTTTGTGCGTGTAACATCGCCGATGATGAATTAGCGAGGAGCCCTATGATGGCCTTGATACTCCTGCGGATATTTACATCAATCCCCTCCAATAACGAATGACTTATCTTTCTAAGGGAGTTGTTAGGAGTCTGGAGAGACATTTTAGGAGAGACAAGCTGGGAACATTTTAGGTGAACAGTAGTTGGTACATGCGACAAAAATTATTAGCAACAATGTGTGTGTAACAGGAACAGCTTGTCACTAATACCTATCTAGCAGCTATTATAACCCATCTCTACTTAAAATCCCTGAATGTTATTGTTATTGTAGCTCTTTAACATTGATTTGTCATTTATGAAGCTCTCTGTAAAATGTATTCTTAACATCTATAGTGTGTCATAACATAACTTTAGGCATAACTTAAAAACAATTTTTTGAGTGTGCCTAATTTCTTTACTAATATATTTAGCTCTTGAATTTAATACACTAATAAAATGGAATTTATCAAATTTATAAAATTGAAGGTTAACTAATGATGACCATATTTTTAGGAGTTCTAGTAGTCAACGTCACTTGGAGGGGAAAAACTTATGTTGGCACCTTGTTAGACTGCACAAAACATGATTGGGCACCTCCAAGGTAAATAAATAATGCTTGAAATCCATTATGAGACTTAATTATTTGTTATTGTAACTGTTATTTAACTTTTTAATTAGCATTGTTTCATATTAAGTACTTCAGAATTTCACAATTTGTATTATATAGTTATTGTTTTGTTTTTGCTGTTGGCTTTACAGACCTTATAGATCTTTGGGCACCTAAACCTGCCTGCTCCATCTCTACCTATCTTGGGCTATTGTTTTCCAGTTTTCTGCACGGTGCATCTTTGTTGATTCAATCTAATCATTTTGTCCTCCTACCTGATCTCTTGCCAACTATTGAGGCATTCATTGTTGTGTAGAGGATTCATCCAAGCTACATGACACCATCTTAACTTCCTTGCCTTCATATCGAGATATTGATTGATCAATTTCTGTAAGCAGTTCTTTCTGTGGCCAGTTCACAGCCCTTGATCAGAACTAACTTGATTATAGGATTGTTCATCCTTATTTTTATATTTCTAGAGATTTTTTGGAATTTCAATATCTTTGAAAGAGAAAAGAAAGCTCTGTTTGCACTTATTATATGCTTGATCTATCAAGATACAAAGTTACGTTTGAAGAGAGGTTGGTTGGGTTGTTCAGTCTAACAAATAACAAAATAAAAATAAATATATTTATATTATATATATTTATAAATAAATTTTGCCAACGTTTCAGCTCAAGTTTCAGGTCTTCATCAGAGCTAAGAAAAGACGAGATAACAGAAATATGAGAAACTAGTAGATGGTTAAATTAATAATATGTAGATAAAAGTTATAGTCTAATAACATGTAGCAAGAATAAATTTAACATAAATAAATTTGTGGAAGGGCAATTATATGATATATAAATAAATGAATTGTAAAATAATGGTAACAAAGTTGGGAATAGAACATATCGGAAGCAAAGTTAAGATATTTAAGATAACGGTAACAAATTTATAAATTTATGAAATAAATAATAATTGTAACAGAGTTAGGAGCTTATGAAATAATCAACAATAAAATAATGGAAACAACATAATAAAATAAATAAAGAGATGAATCCGTAAGTCCCAGACATAAATTAAATAGGATGACGTAATTACTATAAGTTAATGTCCATATCAAACAGCGTCCTAAAGTGGTTCCATTTATTCTTTGTATCACAGATCCCAAACAGTCATTATTCCCAACAAAACCCCTTCCTCCCCCCTCTCACTAACTCGTGGTGTTCCTCAGGGATCTTCACTCTCTCCAACTCTTTTCACCATATACGTCAATGATCTTCCCGATTCCATCCACCATTCACAATACCACTTGTATGCTGACGATCTCCAAATCTAAGTTTCCTTTTATCCTACTGAGATGCTAGAAGACTACAAGAAGATATAAACAGTATTACCACTTGGGCAGCAAGTAATGATTTAAAGTTAAATGTCGATAAGACCAAAGCCATTCTCATTGGTTCTAAGCATCTTATTAATTCCATCCCATGCTATCCCCTTCTCTACCTCAATGGACTATCTATTTGCTTCCATACTTCTGTTAGAAATTTAGGAGTAATTTTCGATCATTACTTCTTCTGTAATAATCATGTTTTCCAAATTATCTGAAAATCCATTGCTACCCTAAAACAGTTCCTGAGATTCCGTGATTCTATGTCCCTAAAAACCCGCCAACTCATAGTTTCCTCACTCATCTTTTCTCATTTCATTATGTCTGCATTGTGTAGGGTGGACTGTCTAGTGGGCTTAAGATCAGATTTAGGAGATTAATGAATTGTTTCATACGATTTATCTTTGGAGCCCCCAGGCGCTCCCATGTCTCCGGTTGGTATGCCGAGTTGAAATGGCTTTATCCAGTTCTCCGGCAGCAATATTTCCTAGGTCTATTCCTTTTCCAAACCTTACAACCAAAAATCCATCTTACCTCTTGAATTTGTTTACTCCTTGTTCCTCCGTTCACTCGTTTAACATGAGATCCCAGTCCATAAACCTATTTGTTCCTTCTCATAGAACCTTTTGCTTTAAAAAATCCTTTGTCATGTGTACTACCTTTTTCTGGAATTCATTACCTGCCTCCATACGTAAATCCTCTTATTTAACTACATTTAAACAACAATTATTCTTCCACCTCCTAAGCAATGAATCTTTTGAACACATGTTCAAGAACAAAATTTCGTATTTAAGAGCTGACACCTTCTGTTGACTGTTACATTAGTGTTATTTATATATTAACAATATAGTTAATCAGAAAAAACATATGAACACACTCAAATACACTGACAGGCAAAAAATTCCACCCACTTGATTTTTTCTTGTTTTTAATGAATAAATAGGTAATCTTTTTGTTTGTTTTCAATTAGGAATGTTAATATAGAGGACAATAACCCTTAATCCTTAATTCAATGAAATGATTCTAGATTTCAATGTTTACTTTCTATGGAATCAAAATGTTTATTCAGTATCATTAGTTCAGTGCCGTTTCTTGCTGCACATTTCTTAGTCTCCGGCTTTTAATTTTTTCAATATTAAGTTTAAAAATGCCTCTTAGTATATCTTTGCTGGAGGATAGCCCATTCCTCCCGAAGAGCCCTTTCAAGGTCTTGCAGTGTATCAGGAAGTGTTGCACACGCTCTTATTCGTCTTCCGAGGTTATCCCATAAATGCTCAATGGATTTCAAATCTGGAGAACGTGCTGGCCAGGCTAAAACCTCAATATTGTTCTGTTGAAGGAACGTCTGCACTATGCGGGCGACATGTGGGCGTGCATTAGAATAGAACGATCGCTGATTTCATTGAGGATAGGCAACACATGAGGTTCCAAAATCTCATCTACATGGCGAATGGCCGTCAAAGACCCTCCACGAACAACAACCAATTCTGTGCGGCGCTCCATTGAAATCCCAGCCCACACCATTAAGGAACCACGTTGGAAAGGTTGGCTCTGGGAGAAATTACAGGCTCCATATCTTTCGTTTCTTTTTCTCCACATGCTTTCTCACGCCCGTCTGGAGATCGAAGAGCGAATCTTGACTCATCTGTAAAAAGTACAGCACTCCATTCGTCCATAGTCCAATGGCTGTGTTCTCTAGCAAAAGCCAGCCTTGTTACTCTGTGAGTTCTGGTCCTCTTACTGGATGAAAAGCCATTAATCCATACTCATTTAATCTTCTCCGAGCGGTACGTTCAGAAATTTGCACATCTCGAACTTTTTCGAGCTGATAAATCGCTTGAACAACGGTAAGATGCCGGTTTCGTAAAATTCTCAAAGTCAAAAACCGGTCATCCCATGGTTCTGTTACCCTAGGCCGTCCAGAACCGGGCCTTGTATTGTAAGAACCAGTTTCCCGAAAACGCCTGACGGCGTCTCGTAAAGTTCCATATGGAACTCCGATGGCATTAGCTGCATATCTAATGGAACGTCCATCATCAATAAGTGCCACACCACACGGAACATCCTCAGCACTAAGAGGCAGTTTTAAACTTAATATTGAAAAAATTAAAAGCCAGGGACTAAGAATATTTATGTGCAAATTATTAGAGTGCTACCAGTGGGTAGTTTCTCAACAAGCGTGTCTCATGTGATAATATTTCTCTGTACACATTGACTTGATGTATTTATACTAATGTAGTTGTAAATATCATAATAAAAGTTTTAAAAAAAATGTGCTAATTAATATTTTTACTTATACTTGATTTATTTTATGAATTATTGGAGGAAGTTAGTCGGCTGTTCTACATATCATGGGTGATAAATATTTAGGACATACCAGGTACTTGAATACATACAGTGCTCGAAACACGCCCTGATGGTGACCCACTTGTTTGGGTTAAAACATCGGCACTAATAAAAACAGCGTCCTGACTATTTATCACCTATTAGTTTATTTTAATTTTAAGGTTGGATTATTGTGTTATGTTAACTATTAATTTTTATTTTCTTATATTACTAGACAATTGTCATTTTTTTGTTCACTGTAGTTATTCTTAGGAGATTAAATGTTCCTGAATAAAATTCACTTTCTTCTTCTTCTTCTTCTTCTATATCAAAAGGAAGTGAGATAAACATAGAATAAAAATGAAAAACAGAAGAAAGGGATACAAAGTTATATAAAGAAAATAATATATGTAAATAGAAAAATTAAGGTGCAGTAAAATCTATCAAAACAAACTGTACATATAAAACAGAATTGCAAAGTTAATATTATATTAATGCCACTTCCTTTAAAATTATTTTACAACTATTTCTTTCTTTGTTAAACTATTTAATGTTTCATAACCATAGGTATTCCAAAAAAATAAACTAGTAGTTAATAGTCTATTTGATGTTGAAATATCTGGTGATTTTCTAGTTTTAGAAAAGTTATTATGATGATGTCCTTGGCCCAAGATATGTTGAGATTACAGGATGTTGTTGATGAGATAGAAATAGAAAATAACTTTATTCTGGGACAAAGTCTCTTTAGAATAACAAAATAGCACATACTTAAAAGCTGCTACATACTTCCTGCTAACAAATGAAAGACAAATCTGACAATATAAAATGTCAGAGTATTTAAATAATAAATAATATCTAAACACATCATTATCTTATTGTAACTATAGGTACAAATTTATTTGTATAAGAATAAAAATAATAAAAAAACAAACAATAGATGCATTTAGTGGCATTGAGAGCAGGAAGATATTCTAAAATCCCTAGTGAAGTTTACAGTATGGAATAGTACTGTCATTTGATGATGAATGATATAATAAAAATGTATAATATCAAAAGTTTAGCAAGCATCTGACTGTTTTTGGGATAGGAAGTGGAATAGGAGGGTTTTGATTGTGGATATGGAGGGAAAATGCCGAATTTTGATAGGAAGGGAATTCCAGAAATTGATGGTGCAAGCAATAAAGGAGTTTTGGAATGAGACAGATCTGTGAGAAGGGATGTAGAGGTCAGGAGTTCGAGATCTTGTTGAAATGGACTGAGGACTTGAATTAGAGAAGGTTGTAGGACGATGGTTGTT